GTAGGGGAAGCTGGGGTCCCATGAGACACTTTTTGTTTTTCGGACCTGTAGGCCACAATTGTTGAAATATTTGAACTTTTAAAGTCGGGATTGAAAGTGTGGTTCATTGCCTGTCAAATGATACCCAAGTCATATTTTTAGTTGCAACTCTTTTTCATACAGGAATAAATTTGAAAAAACCTTACAAAGTCACATGGGACCCCGGGCCCGGGGTCCCATGAGACTCGCTCGGGGACCCATGAGATACTTGTAACATTCATAGTAAAAGAGGTAAAGGGACAGGAAAGAAATGTTCCTTAGTCAGTTAAATGCCTCAATAAAACAAAACAATCGTTTCAAAATATAATAAAACGGTTAATATTAAACAAAAAAAAATATTTGGCTAAATAAGAGGAAAACCAGTTATATTGGACTAATTACTCTGATACTTAGTGCGCAACTGCTTAAATCTTGCAACTGCAACTTAAAATTGAATGTATGCAAGTGTCTTACTCAGCAGTTCTTCACTTGCAAGTGTCCTACCCCAAATGGGACCCCAGCTGCAAATGTCTCATGGGTCCCCAAGCTGCACATTTTCATTAAAAGTGGTATAGGGTGCATATGTTATGTGTGCGGATCGCGGTTCGGGTCTCAAATTGAAGAGGGAGGACCACTTGACAACAACATGAGACGTCCCGGCCGAAAAAGTAAAGTTTAATGGTGAAAAGCGAACGTGCCGTTCAATAAATGAAATTTACTTAAGTCCAAAATATGGACTTGCCCAACTTCAGCTGGCTCTCACACCCTCCATATTCAAACCAGACCCTCGGCCTTGCAGCTACCAAGAACATACCTGGTAGGGTTGCAACTCAATTTTTTGTCAGCGCCTCCAACTTTTACTTTCTGAGATATCGCAAAAGTCTCATGGGACCCCAAGTCTCATGGGACCCCAGCTTCCCCTATAGTCTGAGTCCGCGGGTTACGAAGAGAGCCGTGTGTCGCGTGGCTCCAGTTGGTTATGAAAACTTATCGCGCGAATTCAACGCAGGGGCGGGTTTCTGTGACTGATTCTGCCAGCAAGACCTGCGCTCCGCGACCTTCCCCGCCCCGTCAGTGCGTTCAGGTTCCGGTCAAAGCTGTCACGCTAGCAAAATTTGAGGCTTCTAAAGTCGCGAAAATATTTGGCAGTGCAACACGTGGCTGATTAATCCCCCCGCACTTCTGAAGTCATGCAGTACCGCCGTCCTACGTGCGGGCGGGTTGCCTGCTCGCTCGGCCCGTAAGGCGCGGTGGACAGCAGCGATGGTAGGCATTAGGCCAAGCTAGCCCGCGCCCGCGCTCCGTGCGTACGTTACAGAGTAACAAGTGCGCGGGGTTGATCAGCCACCTGGCACAGTTTCAGGCGGAGTCCCATCATCATCGTCCTATCTACTCCACTGGGCGGAGTACAGAGCGGCATTGCAAAGCCACCTGCTGACACTTCCAGTCCCGCGTTGATAGCACTTTTACCGTCGGGCCAGAGGCGCCATTCTACTCTGAAGTGGTGGCCGCGCCGAAACAGCCTGGCCAAACGTGACGGCGGTCGATAGCGGTAGTAGAAAGCCGGTCGGTCGGGTCGGCAACGAACGACCTAGGTTGCGAGGGTGGCCTAACTTCATCCAAGTAGTGACAGAGTCGGCCGCGGCCGCCGTTCGGCACCCACCCGGGGCCTCGGGCCCGCCAAAGTGACACCAACTGTGTCGGTATGAAAGCGAGAGTCAACGCCGAGGTCAACGAGCTGCACCGTGGTGGCAGGTCGTGCCTGCATGGAGCCGACCAGCTGTGAACGCTGTGGTCGATTTCGGACGCGGGAAAAGAATCACCTGTGGGGCCGGGCTACCTACGATATTGGCGCCAGTGTTTCAGTTCGTGTTTTAGTGCCCGACAAAGGCACGCACGCGTCGTCAGCCCGCTGGCTGTCAATGATGGTCGAGGCCAGGTCCACTATGTCCTCCTGCATGACAATGTCGCCCGCCAGGCTGTTGAAACGTTCATGCCGGGCAGCGCGGTTTGTTGATCGGGCGCCACACTTTTAGTTCTTTTAGCAGCGCCGGTCTGTGCGCTTCGCGCTTCGCACTTGCAAAAGGAGAGCGGCCCGCGGACACCAGAGCCCTCATCTCCGCTGCCCCCGGCCCGGCCCCCGCTGCCCCCGCGGCCCCCGCGGCCCCCGCGGAGAAAAGGGCTATACAGGATGTCCCATTTAGAGGCCCCGTGCCGGGGGCGGGCCGGGCCCAGGGCTAAACGAGGCCTCGTTTGGGGCATTTCGCGTGGGCCCGCAGCCTTCTTGCTTACGCCAAGTTAGAGACGAGCCGCACCATCTATCTATCTATCTATCTATCTATCTATCTATCTATCTATCTATCTATCTATCTATCTATCTATCTATCTATCTGTCTGTCTGTCTGTCCA